AAATATTATATTACAAAATTTAATAATTAATTATACAGCAGTAAAAAATTATTTAAGACTTCATCATAAGATACACAGAAATAATTTATCTGTGTTAGAAAGATTCATTTCATATGAAGCATGAATTACAGTTTCATTAATATTCATTTAAAACTATAACCTAAAAAACTTTAAATTGCTAACCATGAATTAAATTTCTTTCTATTATTTTTATTAGTTAAGGTTATTATTTACGCAGGAATTTTTTGTTTTTTGTTTTCTTGGATAAATATTANGGTATTTGAATATATATATATTACGGTCAAAGTTATTCTTGCCCGCTAACTCTAAGAAAGTTGCCCTTTTAAAAAGAATAATGTTGAAAAAATTTTCTTAAAAAGTTGTTAATATTATTTCTCAACTTTAGCACAGTTAAAAAAATATTGTTATATCAGGAAAATGCTCGATATTACTTATTTAGCTAAACAGCAAATACTAAAAATTGAAAATTGTAAAAAGAATCCAAAACCGTGCTAATTTTAGAATCATCTCAAAAAATGGTTCTTTTTCTAATTTTAGAATTTCCCTAATACTAAAATAAGATATATTAAGAGATTTTTAGATAACAAATTATTTTAAAGCTGTAATTAGTATGTTTAACAAATAGTTTAAATATCCTTTTTTTTAGAAATTATAAATAGAAATCGCTTTTTTATTTCGCCGTAAAAAGACAAGAATGTTAATATTTCACTTACTCCCAATTAAAGCGTGACAATAATTTTATTAACCCCAGAATTGAAATTTGTTTGGACGTAACATTTAATTGTTTGAAACAGTTAGAAACAATTAAATTTATTAAAATTATTAGAAATTAAATTAATTCCTTTATTCTGTACCCGGGGGAGAGGGGTTATTCCAGCGTCTTATTCGACTTTTGAAATTTCGATTGTAGACGGAATTGTTCAACACTCTAAAAATTGTTTTTCAGAGCAGTAGTCAAAAAAATAAACAAAACTAAACAAATTAAAATAAAATAAAATAAATAAAAATGTATTACTTTTAGTTTTTTGAATGTTTTGACAAATTATATATTATATATTTTTTCATTCTAACAGCTGTAACATAAAACTAATTTTGATATCGCGTTAAGTATTTTAATTTAATATATTGTGTCACTACAGGAATAATCCTCAAAAATTGAGGCAGTAAAGTAAAAACTTCATTATCTACAAAAATTACGAAAATGCAAATAAAAGTAGACGTGGTGTGAGCGCTCAAAAATTCATGCCACGAATCATTAACGTCATGAATCATTAACGAGAATGGCAATGCTTGAAGCAAATGTTAAGCTCCCTCAAAAATAGGAGTCTATTTTAAAGACTCGGCAGACGTGAATGAAGAAAACAATAAATAAAAATAATTGAAATAAAAAAATTGTGGCTGCCAACGGGTAAAGGAAAATGAGAAAAAAAAGGCTATATTGTATAAACCAGACGGATTTTAAAATTTAGACTAAAGGAACACAGTAGATAAGTCCCTTTTCAAAAATTCGATAAATCTATTGCTACACATTCTTTGCATCTAGGGGGTAAATTTAATCTCGATAATGCTAAAATTCTAACCACCCCTGCCACATCTGCTAATCTTGATACCCGGGATTCTTGTTTTATTCATATGAGAGCCGATTCCCTTGCTAACTATATTAGTTTTACACCATCTTTAAATAGCACGTGGAAATGTATTTTACGCTGATTTGCCTTTCCCGGCTATCGCAGTTTTTTTAATTTTGTTTTTGTTATTACTTAAGTTTTTATATCCTATTTCTCTCTTGGGGTACTGTGGCTTTTTCCAGTTTTATTTTCCACTTTTATTTATGTTTTCTCGTTAGCAATTTCAGATGTCTGTTTCATATTATTTTTTTTTCTTCATTCACGTCATACGAGTCTTAATGGGCGTTTATTTTCTTCATATTTTTTTGAAGTCAATGTAGTTTTTACCATCAAGTATAATGTGTTACATCTTTTTTGATCATTATATTTATCAGAATCTTATGCTGAAAGAAGCAAACATATGTAAATTATTATTTCAACAGGTTTCGTGCTTTCCTTAACACATTTAAAAAACCGTGGCTTCTATATTCAAATAAAGAAGTTATCTTTAACTTTAAAAACTTCGAAACTTAAGGTTTTGTAACCATATATTTGAAGTTATATATTGAAATTGATTATTTAATAATGTGGTGAATATAAATTCTGTGTAAAAGGAGACTATCGTATCATACACACACACACACACACACACACTAGTGACTGGCTNTATATATATATATATATATTCATTTATAATAATCGTAGGAAACGTAAAACATTTTGTAATAATAGGAATAAAGCAAATAAATTATAGTAGTAATATTTGGTGATCGCATCTGTTGAATACGTTGAGCGACATTGTATAGTGAATTTTGAAAATCCGTTTCAGAATGTATAAAAACATCAGGATGCTATTTGCAAATTAACTATATCTAAAGAAAGCCACGTAACTCATATATTTGGTGGAATAAAACGAATTTTTAAAAAAAGAATCATACAATATTCTTAAGCATACAATATTTCAATCTTTTTAAAATGTCACGTAACATTCACTAATTTCTTCAATTGTTAAAAAAAGAGAAATATAGTGAATTTTATAAATCTTGTGAATTTTGCATTATACTCTCTTGTAGTTGTTTTAAATTTTTTACTGGATCTTTTCGTGGTTCGCCCTACAACTCTATATATAATTAAAATAATGCAAATTTGGTTTTAGTATAAAATCTTGAAATTAAAAGAAGTTAGAAACAGCTTAAAATACAAAAAATTCCTTATAAAACATTCATCTGTTCAAATACTAAGATCTTGAAAAATTATAAATAATTTATAAATCGATTTAAATTTAATTTTTGAAAGAGCAATGTTTGCTTTTTGGACAGAAATCAACTGAAAACAAATCTGTTGTCTAGAAACTTCAAAATACTTTTCTTTTAACTATTTAAGAAAGAAAAAGAACTTTTCGGACCCGAGAAAACACGAAAAAGATGAATTTCTTCAGTTTTTATTTCATTCTTTTTTATTTTTTGAGCTTAGTTGCTTAGCAATGGACTATTTCTTTCTTGTCGATTACGCAGTTCAGTTAAAGTATGGTTATAGTAAATTTCTCTTTCTGCTACAAGGATAGTTGTTGATCTATTTTTGGGACGACTGCAAATGTATATAACTTCCTAGCACCCTAATTTTTGACAAATTTTTTTCCCAAATTTTGTCTACTCCCCCTATTTTGAGGGTCAGATATTAAAAATATCTGAAAAAAGAAAACATTTTTTCTCAGTGAAAATGCGTTTCTGAATAAACAGAAAAGGTGCTAGCTTTCAGCATTTCCACCCTGCAGTTTTGCATTCCAGGGTATTTGAATATATCTTCACCTCAAGTTGAAAAGTTGTGAAGGCCACAGTTTGCTGTTAGGTCAGATAAACATTTTACGACATATGTAAATTAAATTCACAGCATTTAAAAGAAAATTAAAAACTAGACGAAGCACAAAAGATTACCTGGTTTAATCATAACTTTGCTTCCCATGCGCATTAAAGGGATCCAGCTTTTGCGGTTGATAAATAAAAATGCACAGTCACAAAAGGTTTAAGTTCACAGTCTCTAAATTTCATGCATAAAATGATTTTTTTTAATATCTGCTGAATATTTACAAAAATATTGTTCATTTTTAATCTCTTTTTTCGTTTTTAACTTTTAAGAATTTAATTCGATGATGAGTCATACAAATTTTTTTTATTTGTTTGAAATATTGAGAGGGACTGTTAGAGATTTCTAATTATTCAGTAGGATATATTTTTAAATTTGTTTAAAAAAAACTCTCGAGATATAGTGAAATATGCAAAAAGTAAAATTAACATTATGGGGTCCAAATTTTGAAGCACTCTCCTGACCAAATTATGAAGATCATATATGTATGTTTATTCAGAGAAAGTACGTTTTTTAGTCTTATTTCATAATTTAAAATATCGTTTGCACTTATTAATTAGCATATTTCTGGCCAGCCCTACGAGCCGCTAAAATTGAGTCCTAAAATGGGATGGATCAAAAGTTATTCAGGGTGGTTCGTTTTTTTTTATTTTTTTTTATTTGGTGCATTGCAGATTCAACTATACAGTTCGCAGTTATAAATAATGTTACTTTAAAGGTGTTATTTTAATTATTCACAACACTTTTATTCAATCGATCGTTTTCGGTTTATGAAATGTGAACAAATTTTAATGTACCAAAAAATAACTTTTGATCTAATGATTGGAAATTCACATACTCAATCTTAATAGTCCAAAAGCGCAACTTTAAATATGTAAATTAATTTTTGCAAACAACATTTTAAGTTACGAAATCAGTCCTTTTTTGACCCTAAAAATATGAGGGGAGAGGGATTTAGACGCAATCTAGAAAATAGGTCTCAATAGTTTAGCCAAGAGAATTGTTGACCCGCAAACGTTAATTTAACTTTTTGCACCAGATTTTGTGAACTTTTCAAGAGAATCGAAAAATTTTTGAAGTTGCATTGCTAGAACCTTTTTTTTACTGGAATGCAAATCACCACATCGTAGGAAATAATCAAAAATAATTTTAGAACAATAATTATTAAATCATCAAAAGTTATTCAAGTTTTTTCATGCCCTCATGTATGTCCTTATTTTTATTTTATTTTGCAGTCTTTCTCTTCATTCACCAAATCTACTCACTCTAGTATATCTATGTTCTTAATATTTTCAGTTGCATATTTGTTTTGTTTTGTCTTTCTTAAAAATTAGTTTACGACATATAAGAGATTTTTGGATGAGGTGCTAAAAAAAATTCCTCTTCATCAATCATTCTACAACTAGAAAGGAATTAGATATAAAACTAATATCACAATGGTTTGTTCAAGAAATGTTTTTATTGATAAAGCTGTTCAAAAAGAACTAATTTAAAAAATTTGATACTTACTCTTTGAATTGCTGAATCACATTATATTTTTCTATTGCTTCTGTATTTGGTCTTGCCATCGCTAAAATATCATTCGTTATCCTGTAAAATAAATATTCCTTAATTAACACTCAATTTTTTTGATAAACATGGTTATACTGTTCTACCGAAGCGATGGATGAGTGAGACGTAAATCTACTTCTGATAGTAACCCAGAGATCTTGGGCCATTGAAAAGCCCCAACCAAAAAAAGTTAAGAAGCAGTTGGATGAGCTCTATATTTTTGAAGTTAAATTAATAATTATTTTGGAAGTATGATAGAACAGACATGGTTGAGCAAAATCGGACATAATAAAACAAGCTATTTTTCTTACTTAAATATTTATTAACATCATAAAATGAATACAATAATCTTCCCGCACTGAGAAACATACAGTGGCTTAAAAACCAAGGAGCAAAAGTATTTTCTCAATTTTTTTTGTTAATTGATTTATCTAATCAGATTTAAAACAAAAATCCGCAATTCAAATAAATTAAGATACTGTACACAACAGATATAAAATCTTAACTTGTGAGTAGTAGACAGGTCTAAGGGACGGAAGTGACGTCAGAATGTCAAGGAGTAATTATTTCTGCCAGAGTGAAACGAAAATATGTTGTGAACTGGAAGTGAGCTTGTTCTGCCCACTTGCTTAGTTCTGCCCATCTGAGTTTTAATATTAGTTTTTTTGTCATTTTAATATTATTTTTTGACGATGGCAACACTTGTTAAATCCGTTGTTGGACGGTTTCGGTTGGAATTCGTCAATTATGAAGTAATGGCGTCATGTGTTAATCTTGTATGAATCAATTACGTAATTATAATTATTAATTAATCTATTAAATCTATTATGCAATCACCCTAATGAGTAAAATAAATATAATATTTATTAATGTATGGTTTTGAAACCGAAACTAGCTGTTCTCTTTGGTTTGAGTTGAGTTTAGTTGTACATCTGCAATATTAAAAATAAGTGTTATTTATAGAAATATCTTGTTGGATTTTTGTCTGCCCCTCGTAGTATTATTATTCGCGATTGCAACGCTCGAGTACGCCCTCTAGTGGGAGCCTAAAAATATCAAACATTAATTTATCACGTTTTCATTTAGTTCCATCAAAATCATTGGCAGAATCAGACGCCCTTTGCTCAGCAGCAAATCAAAATCAAAATTTCCCTAAGGTAAAGCCGAAGAACTTGAAAAAACTCTCCAAAATATTGGGATATCTTTCAGACCAAGAACGTACAGAACTGTAATAGTTATAGAATATTCTTCTTCGTTATAGAATAGTATATATTTCTGTATCCATATAATTCGGAAAACAACAAAAAAAAATTATTCAAATTACTTGAAATAGTGCCATTTGTGCTGATTCTTAATTAATTTTTAACGTTTTCTTGGTAAGTATTTTTTAGTTTTGAAAGAATAATTTCAACTAGAATTCACTTATTCTGTTTTTAGCTACATATTCAAATTCATATCAAGATCTTACAATTATAAAATTTTGTTGTGTAGTATGTTATCTAAAAGTAATGAAGGGATAAACTATGTATTGATTATTTGAGAATAAAGTTTTTAAACGCAGAACATATCATTTTGGAGTTCTCTGGATTTATAAATCAGGTAAGTGTAATGATTTTTACAATAAAAAATTTGCTTGTAAATATTTTTTTTTCTCATTTGATGAAAGTTCTTTACAGAATGGCTTTTCAAGGCTGATTAAGAACTATAAGAATAAAAAAAGAAACAATATGGAAGTTTTTTATTTCAATATGAGGAATTCTTAAAATCGTTTTTTTAACCCTAAGAATTCTTTTTTTTCCTTTTTTTAGTTTATAATTTTTTGATAAAAATTGTTGTTAAAATAATTGTTTTGAAAAATTAAATGGTATAACATTATGTGTTTATGTATACTTCTTGCATATTCTAATGTTTGAAGTAATATGATTCAAAAAAGTATGGAATAAAAATTCGGTACTTACGTATTAACGCCACCGCAACTACAGATTTGGCGGTTTTAAAGTGCCACCAATCTATACCTAAAATTCTTGCGACAAATCATAAAATAAAACACTTTATTTAAAATCAAAGTAGTTTATCGGATTTCGGTGGGCAAAATGTTTCGCTCCTGAAAAAATAAAATTGCATCTTGTTCTATTTTTGGCAAATTCCAAAGACGCATTTTCGTAGCACTAAAAATTGTAACAAAAATCGAAGAACAAATCATTTTAGAATTCTTCTGATTTATAAAGCAGGTAAGTGTTAATTTTTATAAAATATAAAATTTTACTTTTAAATTTTTTTTTCCTTATTTGATGATAGTTTTCTATAGAATGGTTTTCTACGTCCGATTATGAATTAAAAAAGAAAAAACATGTAAGTTGTTTATTTTAATGTAAGGAATTTTTAGAATTGGTCTTTTCTTTCTTGTCTTGTATCGTAAGCTTCTTTATTTTACGTTTTTTAGTTTCTAAATAATGATTTTTATTAAAACTTAAAATGTTTTGATAAAAATTGTTGTCGGAAAACTTTTTTTACGAAATTGAACTATATAAAATTATGAGGCTTTATGTTCTACTTTTCGTTCATTTTAATGTTTGAAGTAATATGATTCTTAAAACTATGGAATGTAAAGTTTAAATAGGCCTTTCAGGTTATATCAATAAATTTAGTAACACTATTTCTCAGGCATTAGGTTTTAACTCTAATAAGAAGATACATATTTTTTACTGTTTATTTACAAATATTTTTCAAATGTGTTTTGGATGTTCCTTCCTTAAAAAAAGGATACCATCTTGTTTTCGGTTGCATAAGAAAAGATATAAAAAATTTTTCTTTTTTAAATTTAATAAACCACAATCTAGAAGGAACGTTACAATGCTACACGCTACAATAAAGACGTTGCCAGAGTAACTGAATGACTGTTCATATAGAAATCGCAGGTATTCGTCTCATACAGCAAAGCCAACACCTACTAGAAGGTTAGTTATGGCAAAGCCCCCTAAAGTTCCGGGTGTCAATGGCAGTTATCATGCACGTGTTGTTACTTTGATGTCTCTATCGAATGTAAAAACTAGAATAAATTAAAGCTATAAACTTAGTTTCTTTTAATATATCTATTTAATACACATAATTTTAATACAGATAATTTTAATACTATTGTTAATTTTATTTAATAAATTTATATTTAAAAATAATTTGTATTATTATTAAATAAAAAGGAAAATTATATTTATTGTGTATATTCATATGAATTAATAAATGATTTAAGAGAGCATCATTTATTAAAAACGTCAAGGATTTATTAAAAATAAAATAATTGATTTCATATATTTAATTATTATGAATTAAAGAATATTATACTTTTAGCAATGTATATTTTTTAAAAATAATAATAAATATTTAATAAAGAATTTTTTTAATCTACATAATTTTTGAATGAGTATAAAATAAAATAAATATTAATTATGAATATCTAAAAATTAATATTAATTAATTCTGTAATAAACTATTTTTTGAAAAAGTAAATAAATCAAATTAAATAAAAGCTTTCTTTAACTAAAAAAATATTAGAATTATATAATACTATTAGTTGTGATTAATAAATTAATTATTAATCTAATATGTATCGGATTTAATTATTTATTGGATATAAAATTATTCCTTATAATGAATTTCTATTTTGTCCAGTGTGGGGATCGAACCTACGCCAAAAGTATCCTAGGAACATTTGCCACATACTTATGTAGAAGATTGCTGGTAAAAATGAGTCCTACCTACTTATTTAATAGGGGTATACTACTTTATTTTTATTGGAAAATATGTTTTTATCAATATTTTGGTGTAGCATCAAAAGAGTACAAATTATTATTATTTTTTGGGCATTAGAATTTTTTTCTAGTATAATGTTGATCATTGAATGAATTGATATAATTCATTAATTGCATTTATTTTAGTGAAGATTATATTAATTTGAAAAACGTTGATCTTGATTTTTATCAGTGGTCCAAAGTTTTTTCACTGAAAAGTAATAGGAACATTTTTTATTTTTTTTTTCGAACTTAGAAAAATCTGTAATGTTTCACTATCGTTTCACAACTTTTGATAAATTAGAGTATTCAAATGATTTTTAAATCGTGTTTACTTTTAAATATTATTATTATTTCTATTATAAATATTGTTATTATTTCTATTATAAGCATTATTATTTCTATTCTAATTTTTTTCAACTTAACTTTTTTTAATTACAATTTCTAATTTTGTCACAATATTACTTAATTGATTTACAATTATTCTTCTACATTAAATAAACTTTAACATTCTCATCTACTTTTTTATGATGCTTTATAGTTTGAAAAAGTATTTTATAGATAACCATTCCCCCCCTTCACCACCTTTTCATGATTTTATCTAATAAATGTTTTTTTTATCAATTGTTAGAGAAATTTTATCATTTAAAAGTAAGGGGAATATTTAAAAAATTTTTCCAAGCGTAGAAAGTTTTTCGAATCTCATAAATTTTATTGCTTTTTCAATCTGGACACATGAACTAATTGAAATTTTACTGTTGACTTTTATCAAAAATGTATTATTTTATCACTGCACAATAGTGATGGGTTATTTAATTTTCTTACTGAGCGAAATTTGGAATATTTTATTTTGTTTTCAAATGATTAGAAGATTTCATTTAAAAGATTCTTAAATGTGTTGAATTTCTAGATAATTTTTTTTCTTCAACACTTTAACTTTCTATTAATACTTTTTTACTTTCAATTTCCTTTTAATATTATGTTAATCCCAATGATTTTACTAATTTTTAAGACTTAAACTTATTAATTCTTGTAAATTTATTCTTTCTGAATATTTATAAAGTTTTGATTTTCCCTGTGGAATTTTTAAATATTCTGTTATCATTTTCTTGTTTCACAAATTAGAAAAACTTACCTATATTTAACTTAGCGAAAAACTTATCATTTAATATATATATATATTATATATATACCGAAGAGCCATTATGCATTAGGACCACCTTTAGCCCTCAAAACTGGTAGCACCCGCCGTGT